ACTTGATGAGGCTGTGCCTGTAGCGGAGACAGTGGGAATCATGCTGGAGGCTTCTGATCCCCTTAGTATTTCCTGAAAAGGGCCTCCCTAACAGCATTTTTTCCAAATTTCAAAAAAGGTTCAATTTGCCCTACCTTAACTGATTATAGGATTACTGCTTACTTTGAAAAAAGAAAAGGAGTACTTGTGGCACCTTAGAGACTAACCAATTTATTTAAATAAATAAATAATAAAAATTGGTTAGTCTCTAAGGTGCCACAAGTACTCCTTTTCTTTTTGCGAATATAGACTAACACAGCTGTTACTCTGAAACCTGCTTACTTTGAATTACACAAGCGGCAGCTTTATCTAGAGGCCAGACGCTCAGATTCTAGTGAACAACTGGCTACTTTTCATAAATGTTAAATACTAGCTTGAAGAAAGGACAACTCTATGAAACTTGCATTTAGAAGAATAATGTGAAATCTGAGACATGCAAAGAAAGAATAGCAAAATAAACAAAAATGTGAACAATATTGGTAATTAGCACTTGCATCTAGCCCTTTAAACCTTCAAGATCAGAGCTGGTTACAAATGAAATAAATGTCCACTGGCTTTTAAGAAACAGAGACTGATTAGTAGTGAAGCAATGTGAGGTGCAATTAAGTGTTTATGGAAACATAGGAGAGAAATAAGGGGAGTTTCTGTTCCTTTACGTAGAAGAGTGCCCTGACATGTTCACTTTACCTAACAGCACCAAGGGACTCCTTTGTTAACCCTGAGCAGCGCAGTTTCAGCCAACGTTTTCCGAGATCACCTCAGACTCAGAGTAATAGTTTTGCACTGTATGCTGCATGTTGAACTCTCCTCTCCAGCCCCCGCGGTTGCGCCCGATGACCAACATTTCTCCGCCAAAAGTTCACCTCCACACATTTCCCACCCGAGCTCTCAAAACACTTCACACGCACGAGTCAGAATTACAGCCTCCCCGCGAGACAGATCTCACCCCCCACTTTCAGACGGGGAGCCTGAGGCACACAGCCTGAGACAGCGCCGGGGAAGGGACCCAGCAGTCCTGACCCCTGGCCTCGAGTCACCACCGCAAACCCCCCGTCACTGTTTGCACAAGGCTAACACGGGCGCGGAGGCGGAGGGGGGGCTGTGGTGACAGGCTGTGTGTATCAGGCGGGGGGTCGGGGGCCGTCACACTAGCCCGGGAGGGCTTCTAACGGGGGCGGGGCAGGGCGAAGCTCCGCAGGGAGCCGGGGCCCGGGTTGCGCGATGCCCCGCCACTTGCACCTGGGAGAAAGAGACCACAATGTCCCCCCGCCCCGCCCCCAGCCCATCGCACCGCGCGGGCCGCTCCCCCCCTCACCTTGCAGTCTCTCAGCGGCACCATGTTCCACACCGGCTCCTTCTCTGCCCCTCGGCCTGCGGGGTTGGGGTTGGGGTTGGGGTTGGGGCTGGTCCCGCCCCCAGCAGCGAGACACCTCCCCCGGTGAGGCCAGGCACGGGCGGCTCCTAAGGGCGCCGGCGGGGGCAAGAATCGCGCCCCCAGGCGGCTGCGGCAGAGCCCGGGGGGGGGGGCCGCCCCCGGCTTCCCAGTCCTGGGGCGGGGAGCCCCGCCGCACCCCACTCGGGGCTGGCCGAGCAACGATCCCTGCGCCTGCCCCTGCGGCCCGGTCAGCGCCTGCGGGGGGCCCCGATGCGATGACCCCACCAGCCGGGCCAAGGCAGAGACCCCGTCCGCAGCCCGGCGGCCCCGGCCCTGACCCCAGATCAGGGAAGGGAGGAATTTGGGCGCCACATAAAACGCGCGGCGGGCTGCCCTGGGGGGTGCAATGGGGAGATTGGGTGGGGGGAGGTGTCGGCTGTGCCGGGGGGAGGGGGGGTGTTTCCGGGCTCCTTGGCTGTAGTAATTGGGAGGCCCCAGCTGTGTCTGGGTGGGAGATCTCGCCGCTGGCTGGCAGTGCGGCAGTGCTCTTTGACAGGCTGTGCTCCCCTCTTCTTCTTCCTTTGGGGACATTTCCTGCTGTAACTTTGCCCGCAGCAGCGCAGGGCCAGCTCAGAGTAGGCGACCACCGTACCGGCCTGCTTGCTGTAACCAGTGGCTCAAGTGCACCAATGTCCGGCGTTTTGAGTTGGCTGTTGGAGTACAGGGTGGCTGCAATTTTAAATGATATTTGGGGGGCGGGAGTCGAACACTTCGTAGCTTCTGTAAACTGACTTCATGGCACAAATTAGGCCCTCCCCCTGCATGTCTACTTTCCTTCACAGAAGCTCCCCACGTGCCCCCTCCCATCACCCTCTATTTGAGGAGCTCTCTGCAACTCCCTCAAACCCAAGGCCCCGCTCTCTCTCCTTCCACACCTCAGTCCCCGCAGGCCAGTGGCTTTGCACATACCCTTATTCCCACTTCCTCCCATTCCCTGCTTCCCCTAGGCATGCTCAGAGGCAGCCCAAGTGGCTCCTGGCCTGTGTTGTGAGTACCTGAATTTGGAGCTGTCCCATGGCGGCAGGAGTTGGGAACACCACATGCCTGGGTGCAGCATTTCACCACAGACACTCTTCAGTGTGTTTTATTAAAGTTTTATTCCTGTCTCATTAACTGGTTTGTTAGTTAATGAACCTCAAGATGGTTACATGGTGTTAGAAGTGTTGAATGAGAAGGAAACAGCAGTCTTGTTGAAGTTAACTCCTGTGTTTGCAACTGAAAGCAAAGACAAAGGGTGGCACCAGAGAAACGCATGGAGCAGCAGCCACAGAGGCTTTTGCATATATGGGGGGAGCACAATAGTAGCTTGACTAGTTTAAGAGGGGGAAAAAAGCCAAAAATGGATATTTGCAACCTAAGATCCCTATAAGCTGCGTGGCCGCACAGCAGGCTATCAAGGGCTGTGCAGGCAGAGAGGATATAAGAGCCAGTGTTGAAGTTCTATGCACCAGAAAGGCCTGTTAAAATTTCAGCAGATGCTTCACAGTCTGGATTAGGTGCAGTGATTTTACAGAAGCATGAGGATTGTTGGCAACCAGCGGCATATCTATCCAAATCACTGATTGAGCCAGAAACCAGATACACACAGATTGAGAAGGAGCGACTGAGGAACACTTTAAATACAATATCCAATAGTCCTGTGCTTAAGGCTTTTTCCACAAAGCTGGGAAACTTGGGTTCAAGTCCCTGCTCTGAATCAGGCAGAATGGGGATTAGAACCTGGGTCTTCCACAGCCTGTACAAGTGCTTACGGGAACTGCTGCCTCCTCCTTGTTGGTTATTTATTTTGCAAGAAGGACTGACCTGGTTTAGGTGCCTACTGCCAGGAAGGGGTTCACAGCTGTGAATACCAAGCTGAGCAAGCTGCTTCCCTCTGACTGAGACTAATCCCTTTTGTGGGGCAGGGTTTAGTCCGTGCTGCTCAGCATGCTAGTTTCTGTGAATCCCTCTTTTCAGCCACCCTGGATGGGGAATCTGCCTAACTTGGGGCTGTGAATTCATTTGGACAGCAGCACCTAAGTCAGAGGTGGGCAAACTATGGCCCGTCCTGCCCGGCCAGGGTGGCTAGCCCCCAGCCCCTCCCCTGCTGTTCCCCCTCCCACACAGCCACGCAGGTAGCGCGGCTTGCGCCCTCCCACCTCCCAGGCTTTCCAATAAGCCAGTCCTGCTGATCTGAGAGGCATGGTAAGGGGGCGGGGAGCGGGACAGGAGGGTAGATAAGGGGCAGGAGGTCCTGGGGGGGGGCAGTCAGGGGATGGGGAGGAGAGGGCGGTTGGATGGGTCAAGGGTTCGGGGGGGGATGGTCAGGGGATGGGGAACGGGGAAGGTTGGATGGGGGTGGGAGTCATGGGGGGCCTGTCAGGGGGCGGGGTTGTGGATAGGGGTCAGGGCAGTCAGGGGACGGGGCGGGGGTTGGATAGGGAGTGGGATCCCGGGAGCGGTTAGGTCCTAGGAGGGGGTAGTCAGGGGACAAGGAGCAGGGGGGTTTGGATGGGTTGGGGGTTTTGAGGGGGGCAGGAAGTGGGAGGAGGTGGATGGGGCAGGGGCCAGGCTGTTTGGGGTGGCACAGCCTTCCCTACCCAGCCCTCCATGCAGTTTTGAAACCCCAAGGTGGCCCTCGGGCCAAAAAGTTTGCCCACCCCTAAGTGTTGCAACATCAAAATCTCCTTAATTCTCTATCTTCTGTGATAAAGGTAGTACCATGCAGTTTGCTCTATGTATGTAACCTTGGTAACAATCAAAAAATGATCACATCACTGTCTGCGCTGCACAGATATTAAAGTTGACACTTTTTATAAAAGGGGGTACAGTTTGGCCCTGTGTCCTCGGACAAGTTCCCTCTGTGATGCTGATGCCAGCTCTGATCAAAACTGTAGGCTCGGCTGAAAACTGACAAACTCACAGTTGGAAGTCAAGTCAATTCACATGTGTAGTAGCAGACTAAAAGACTGTTAAATGTGTGTGAATGTGTTTGGTGTTTAAACTTCATAAAATCAATGACAGGTTTCAGAGGAACAGCCGTGTTAGTCTGTATTCGCAAAAAGAAAAGGAGTACTTGTGGCACCTTAGAGACTAACCAATTTATTTGAGCATGAGCTTTCATAAGCTACAGCTCACTTCATCAGATGCAACTGATGAAGTGAGTCTGATGAAGTGAGCTGTAGCTCACGAAAGCTCATGCTCAAATAAATTGGTTAGTCTCTAAGGTGCCACAAGTACTCCTTTTCTTTTTTCATAAAATCAATGAGATTTTGCATGCATTGTTTTCACTTATCTGTATTGTGTTAGTAAATATAACACCCTCCTCCCTCCCCTACTGTTTAGCATGCTTGTGTTCTCCCTACCTCAGCTATGGCTTTATTTCATCGGTGTTGTGTGTAGACAGTTCGCACAGCACTTTGGGATTCTTCAGCATAAAAAAAAAAATCTTAAATTTTACTGTGGTTACAGTTCATTCCAACAAAACAGATCTGAGCAAAGACACCATGTATCCAGAACATTTTTAATACAAGAAAAATCAGTGCAGACTCATTCAAGGAATAAAGGATTGCGTGGGCGTAGGGAAAGATAAGTGTAAATGAAAGTCTTCTGCAGTCTGGCCACATACGTGCCTAACACTAGTTTAACAGAAGTTTCTGGTGCCAATTCCACCTCTGAAAATGAGTTCCCAAAATGGGATTTTGTTTTTTGTGGGATTTTTTTTGGATGGGTGGGTGAATATGAATATTTTTGCTGAACTTGATACCATACATTTTAAATTCAAACAGTATGGCTTTCTCTCACACATTTGGTGCACAGAATAGCTTGACTCATCCCAGAATTCTGCTGAAGAGATCCACATTGAATATGTAAAATATTCATAAACTGCAGTTTCATACCTTTAGTCACTTCCTTGTTAATGGGTGAGTTCAGAAAAAAATGATCATATCACTGAATTGAATGAAGGACCATAGGTAGTATTAATTACATATAAATCACATTACATATAAACAAGGTAAGCATTTAGGATAAAAATCACATTGTTTTTATTATTGCATATTTAATAAAGATCTTAAATTCAATCAGTAAAAAGTTCATTCTAAACTGTGAAATTGTTGACTTGCAAAATAAAGTCATACAGGCATGATCTTGAATAGTCAACAATTCAGAATTATGCCTTTGGGGAACCTAGAGCCAGCAGGTGGGCCCAAGGATCTGGGCTGCATATTGGATAGTGTATGTGGGATATTGCTGTGTATGAGCGATGTATAGAATCATAGAATATCAGGGTTGGAAGGGACCTCAGGAGGTCATCTAGCCCAAACCCCTGCTCAAAGCAGGGCCAATTCCCAACTCCCCAGATCCCTAAATGGCCCCCTCAAGGATTGAACTCACAACCCTGGCTTTAGCTGGTCAATACTCAAACCACTGAGCTATCCCTCCCCACCCAGAAGTGCTCTCCTACCTTCCCCCAGGCCTCTATTGCAATTCCAGGATTGGAGCACACCATGTGGCTAGTGCCACTCCATAGAAGACTGTCACCTGATTCATTAGTTCAAAACCCCAATCTCCTCCCCCACCACCGCATGCATGAGGAGACGATATGGAGTGGAGCTTCGTGGAGGCACAGGGCTCCCACATCCTGCCCCTATTTGCAGCAGTGGTTCTGTGGGGCCAGAGCCTGCTGTGGTTATTGGGCTGTTCATATAAAAGCTCTATCCATCCCAATCTAGTATTCATGTAATTGAATAGCAACACCACTGCCTACTTTGGCAGTTCACAACCTTGCAATAAGTGTTATCCTGCAACCTGATAAGCATAAGACTGATGCGTTCTCCTGAAAAGCAAAGGCTCAGCATGCTTTTAAACAAATGATTGATATCTATTTTATTTGCTACTGTCGCCCTGCTAGGCACAGCAAGGCTACAATCTTCCAAGAATCAGAGGTGTGCCAGAAGCTCAAGCAATGATGCTGAATCACCAAAAGAAGCTTCCCAAAGCTCAGATATTTAGAAGATCTGTTTTGGCTGCTGATGCAGGATTTTCCCTATTTTGAGTCTTTTAATGCCACAGAAAGAGACTCATTATAGTGCTAATTATTATTTCCACTGGAATAACAGATTTAAGATTCATCCCATCGCATGAACAGCTGATGCTTTCCAAATAAGTCGCTCAGTCAATGGTGAATTTGGTCTCAACCCATCACGTTCTGCCAGGAGGCATCTGAAGGAGGTAAGGGAGGGGGGAAGTGAAAAAAGAGGCCATAAATACAGCGCTCAAAACTATAGCAAGCAGGCTTTTCTGTTTCCTGATTTAGTAGTCATGTGTCGTCTGAAAATAAAAAACTTGCTGCAGCAAAAAGACTGGTAGATGCTCATGTTTCAGTCCCTGGCATTTAAAAGAGTTGAAAATGAAAATCAGTATCGAAAACAGCACAGCTATGTTTTTAAATGCCTATATTGTATGCCTTGACCACAAATACCACAACACAGTCTACCACATAGACTAATAAGAGAGTGATGTTCCCTCTCCCATTTCTAACCCTCCAACTAATTTTCCCTACTTTCACAGCCACATGGCTCTGAAAATGACACAGCACAAGAACTTTGTGAGAAAATAATCTTACTCTCCTCCCTTCAAGATCCTAAAAGCTCCCTTATTCCAGCTCACTGTCTACCACTAACCATCCACTCCTGTTCTGATATCTCACCTCACAATTCTTAACCATAACAAACATTTGAAATAAGATGTCTCATACATAGACTACCTGCTCACATCACTTCTAATGTTCCTTCCCCAGTTATTTGTATTTTGTCTAATTTTGATTGTTAAGTTTTCTGACAGGGAGATCTAATAGGAAAGTGAATAAAATGAGCAAGGATCCCTTCATATCTGGGAGGTTGGAATGATTTTCATTACTTTGAAGCTAGGGGTCTGATTCTCCACTCATTTACATTTGTGTTAATCAGGACTAACCACAATGAAGTCAGTGGAGCTACTCTAGTGTAAGAGAATGTGATCTTAAGCTTCAATTCTTTCAGCTGTCCTACACAGGTAGACTCCTCCAATAACTTGAATGGGCCTCAGTATGGGCACGTGAGTCTGCTCATGTTAGCAACTCTTGTGATTTCTACTAACACAAGACTGGCACAATGGAGAGCTGAAATATGGCACTAGAGTAAGTTAGATCCCAAATAAACTGCATGTGGCATCATTACAGTATTCAGCTACTCGTATACGTTTTATTTTGTAATCTATTAAGTATATTGCTCCATATGTAAATACAATGGTTCCATACTGAAAGAGGAAGACTTTTATAGCTAAACTTGTAGACTACTAATAAATTGGTGAAATCAACCAGCCAAGTTTGTGTAGCTGAACAAACTAAATATTTGATAATTGCTGTAAATTGTGACCTAAGATTAAATCTAAAATTATGCAGCTTTGTATGTACTTGCTTGCATATCATTTTACTTGTAATTTACAATGTTTAAAAACAATTGAAATTTGTGCTTTCATAAATTGTATTTCTATTTAATGCATACCATGGAATCCAGAAGTTCTGATTTTTAGCAAGTGCTACTTATCTAGCCAGTTTTTGATAGGCTTTTGATTTACAATTTAAAGCAGTATGAATAAATAGCTGGCTGAAAACATCTCTCTGAAAATATGAGTCACAAATGAAATAAGTTAATATTTGGTAATCAATGCTGCAAGTGATAATTGCTTAGATTCTGATTGGTTAAAACTATCCAGGAGAGAATTTCTTTTACATACAGTATTAAGCAGCTGAGACATAGTACTTCTTATTTGTACATTTGAATATTAGTAGTAACATGAAAGCCTAACAGATGCTTCTCAAAGACAAACAAGCCCTACCCAAATGCAATTTAATAAAATAACATTCAAGCCCCTTACCTGAGCATTGCTGCCTCCTATCTGCAGGAGTTTGTAGCGAACTGGATAAAGTAATTCTACTGTCTTGTCATAATTTCCATTGTCAAACTCTACCAAAGCCTGGCAAAGCGGCAACCCCAATTTCGGAGCCAGACCTAGCTCATGGTCTTCACCAGGTGCTCTGCAGAACAGGAAAGAAGTTAACTGCCAATGAGCAGACGGTCAGACTGCAGCACTTCTACTCCTTTTCATGTTGTTCTGTCACCTCCTGTTGGAGCAACATAGGGTATGTCTATGCTACCCGCCAGATCGGGGGGTAGCGATCGATCCACTGGGGGTGGATTTATCGCATCTAGTCTAGACGCAATAAGTCAACCCCCGAGTGCTCTCCAGTCGACTCCTGTACTCCACTGCCGCAAGAGGCGCAGGCAGAGTCGACGGGGGAGCGGCAGCAGTCAACTCACCACAGTGAAGACACCGCGGTGAGTAGATCTAAGTACGTCGACTTCAGCTACGTTATTCACATAGCTGAAGTTGTGTAACTTAGATCGATTCCCCCCCCAGTGTAGACCAGGCCTTAGTTCCATTGAGTTAAAGGAATAGTGATACACGGAACAAAACCTAACACACATTAGGTTCATTTTGCTAAACAAATCTTATTTGCTGTAACTTTAAAAAATCCTGAAATCTCGCATATTTTAATTAGACAAGTGAAGACATCCATTCCACAGTATTGTTACTCCCATTCAACCTGAGTAGTTAGCCAATCATTGGAGCCCTGCAGGTTGTTTCTATTAGGAGGAGAAACTGATGATAAAGTCAGGTATTTCTTTGAGGGAAACCTGTTTATTAACAAGAATGTACAGAAAGCCCTGTTTCCCCAAACGCAGTAGGAAACAAACATAAAACAGGAGGCATTGCTCAATATTCCAAGCCTCTTTTTTCAGCCAACACTCTACCCAATAGCTCTCTCAAATTTCAGGTCACACTACAAGTGATGCTTTGGATGTCTTTGGATTTGTGTTGCCTTCTCTAGTTGCCTGTCTCTTTCTCTCTCACACACAGCACACAGACAGAGAGCCCTCTCCATCAAAACCCCCATACCCACATAGCTCAGCTCCTGGCCTTGCATGTAGCCTATGTTTTGGGTGGTGGCTACTATTGTTTTTCAGGTATCTTACTTCAAAAGGAGCTTAACTGCTTCTTTTGTTTATCTGAATGAAAGGCAGCTATTACTTCCACCAGCTCAAACAATTTTCACCCATCTCATTATACATCTATAGTAGAGAATTTTGGTTTTTTGCACAGTGATCCACCCAAGAAAGAGGAATAGAGTCAGCAGGTTAATGCCCCAGTGCAACAGATTATGAATCCAGTTTGTCATCATTTCTCAGTATACAACACAAACAAACAAATTTAAATTCTTTCTGTTTTTGGAATATAGATTTTTCTTTATAATTTAGTACACATAGCTGCTATAAATTAAAGCACTTTCTTAGCTCTGGATGTATTATTATATCACAGTTAGAAATCTTTATAACTAGATAGACAGAAACACAATGGAAATAGAGTGCTGAACTTACATTACTGTATTCAGTTGAGGAGTTTGAAAAAATAGCTGACTGTTAGCACTCCTAAACTAATTGGAATGTAAGCTGTTTGGGCCAGGGACTGTCTTTTTGTTCTGTGTCTGTACAGCACCTAGCACAACAGGGTCCTGGTACAGGACTAGGGCTATGCTAATACAAATACAAATGATAATAAAGTGGAACACTACGTTTATGCAATGTCACAAGGATAAAAGTGAATATCCGATGTACAACTGCAAGTATAGTATTTACAGATATATCTAAAACTTCCAACTCATCCCACAACTATAACAATCTTTGAAAAAGTAAGCAATGAGTATATGTGCCTACTTCCCAACAATGGCCTGTTTCTAAGGGCTTGTCTACACTGGCACTTTACCGCACTGCAACTTTCTTGCTCAGGGGTGTGAAAAAACACCCCTGTAAAGCGCCAGTGTAGAGAGTGCCCCAGCGCTGGGAGCCGTGCCCCTCATGGAGGTGGGGTTTTTTGAGCGCTGGGAGAGCTGCGACTACACAAGCCACGTTAAAGCGCTGCCACGGCAGTGCTTTAACATTGCCAGTGTAGACTAGCCCTAAGACATTTCATGCTAATCATCAAACCTGGAGGACAACAACAGCAATATAAATAACTAAATTGTTCTTCAAGATGGGATCTTCAGAAGTGATCAGCTTTGGCCTAAATCTACTCTCCTGTTGGAGTCAATAGTGTAGTTCCCGTTACTTCCATTGAAGTTAAAGTTAGGCACTTTTGAAAATCTCTCCCAGTTTAAGGTTTTCTAATTAAGAGGCTATAAAAACATGATTTATAGCTGAGTTTAAGATGCAGACTTATTTTTTTTTAAATGGCTATTTACAGAATTATGGTGTTTGGTGCCCACACAAAAAAATCTTTCTGTATTTATACGTTTCACAACCCTCATCTCTCACAAGGAAACCACAACTACGGGACACTGAATTTAGTTTCTTCAGTTAATCTGAAAAGACTAGTGCAGCTAAATATTCCAATAAGAGGAATCAGTCCTTCAGTTCATGAAAACATAAGTGTGATACCCACCAGAGTACACTATTATATGGATTTGTTTGTTGTTGTTTTTTTATTTTAACTTTCAGCCTCAAAATGTATAGGGTAGAAAAATAAAAATAACAAAAATAAAGGGCTGGAGGATTAGAATTGTATGGCTATTCTTTAAACAAACAAATAATTTCTAATATAGGTAACGTAATTTTTATATTCTTGATGTGAGTAAACAGTCCTATTACCCACATTTTGGCTTAGTAAACGTGAAGTTTAATTTTATATTTAGTTTTTCAAATATGCATATTCATATCAATGTTTGTTTTCTAAAGTAAATATAGTAAAATTACGTTTTATAATGCTTCAAACAACTATTATAATGCAGAGCAGTTACAACAATGTTACAATGAAGATGTAAAGGTAGGTGTGGACAAGCAGATGAAAGCACTGTGCAGAGGTTGGCAATACTAAGTATAAATTCATTAAATATTCTACAAATTTTCCATCTACCAATGTTTAAATTCTATAGCACATATACTTGGTATCTAGAAGAAAAAAAAGGCTGTCACCATCTGATAGTAGCAAGCAAACCAGATATTACTGTTTGGTAGCTTTACATTTCTCACATTTTCTTCTTGATCTCTCAAAGCTTAAGTGGGTCATTTGCATATGCACCAGTGCTGTTCTGCTCTTTTGTGCAAAACAATACCCATCACACTTGATATTAAGATTCCATTTATAAATAGTTTCTAAAAATTGCTAATTGGTTAATAGGTGTCAGTCTCTTAGAAGATTGTTAGAGAGAGTCCAAGAGACCAACATATTGCTTGTAACCATGGCTTATAATCATCTAGCACAGTGGTTCTCAACCAGGGGTCCAGGGCCCCCTAGGGGGCTGCGAGCAGGTTTCAGGGGGTCCACCAAGCAGGGCCAGAATTAGACTTACTGGGGCTCAGAGCAGAAAACCGAAGCCCCACTACCTGAGGCTGAAGCCTGAGGCCCAAAGCCCTACCACCCAGGGCTGAAGCTGAAGCCTGAGCAATGTAGCTTTGTGGGGGCCCCTGTGGCATGGGGCCTCAGACAACTGCCCTCCTTGTTATCCCCTAACGCCAGCCATGGCTTTTGTATGCAGAAAAGCAATTGTTGTGGCACTGGTGGGCTGTGGAGTTTTTATTGCATGTTGGTGGGGGGCCTCAGAAAGAAAATGGTTGAGAACCCCTGATCTAGCACACCTTCTGTTGTACTTATAACCATCTTTAACACATACTACTCGTGTCTAACATCTATCACTCATATCACACCTTTACACACCATTTATAAATGGAAACTTAACATAAAGCATTACCACAGTAACCTTGCTGCCCTATTTTGTTTGGGTTTAAATGCCACTGCTGTCATCTTTCTAATGCTATGTATACACTATTTTTAATTAAGATTTGTTTTAGCAAAATATGATGATCATTACTCTTCTGAAAACTGACAGACAAATCACAGGCCCTTTCTTCTGTAAGTGAAAAAAGTTATCACTGTAGGTAGCTGCCTCTTTCCCAGCCTGTCTATTTCAGGATGTTCTGTGGCACCTTTACATATAGCCCTTAAGGGTCAGAAAGAGAAAGCAATGACTGACTCAGACTGTACTCTGAAGAAAGAAGGGAAATCAGTTTCACGCACAGAAAAGTTGTGTACATAAAATAAAAGCTGGAAAAATGTAAGAGTGGAATGCCATTCTTATACCTCCTGTCATGATGGCTAATATAAAAATAAGAGGAAGAAATTTATATTTTAGACATAAACAAGGATGTGACAAACATTCTATTTTGCTGAAATACCAAAATATTCAAATTTGTATAGATGAACCAAATTGTGCCAAAATTATTTCCACAGCGCTTTCAGCTCAATATCATGTTAAAATGAAACAGTAACTCCTCACTTAAAGTTGTCCCAGTTAACATTGTTTCGTTGATACATTGCTGATCAATGAGGGAACATGCTCGTTTAAAATTGCGCAATGCTCCCTTATAACGTGGTTTGGCAGCCGCCTGCTTTGTCCACTGCTTGCAGGAAGAGCAGCCTGTTGCAGCTAGCTGGTGGGCGCTTGGAACCCATGCTACCATGACCGGAAGCCCCCTATCAGCTCCCCGCTCCCCTAAGTTCCCTGTGTGGCAGCTGCCCAGCAGGCTATCAACTGCTGGCAGTTCAGCTGTCCCTCCCCATACTGCCATGTGCTGCTCCTGCCCTCTGCCTTGGAGCTGCTCCCTGAGCCTCCTGCTTGCTGTGCGGGGGGTTGCGGGGGGAGGAGGAGGGGAAGAAGGGGGCTAATGTCAGGGTATCCCCCTCCCTCCTGCTCCTGCACCCTGCTTACCCCACCTTCCATAGAGCAGGGAGGACACATGACAGGGACAGGGCTCAGGACGGGGGAAGCTTCCTGGCAGCAGCTGTGGTCTCAGCTTGCTGATCTACTGAACAAGGCAGTGTACTTAAGAGTGGGGTCAACATACTTGAAGAGGCAATGCGCATCTCTCTCTCTCTCTCTCTCTCTCTCACACACACACACACACACAGTGTTTCTCTGTCTGCCATGCTGTCTCCCCTTCCTCCATTCGTGCTGCCTTGTAGAGAGTGAGGCTACATTAATAACAATGAGTTAACTCTTTAGGGCTCAGCCAATTGCAAGTTTATCATTTAGCAGTAAGGCATTCCCTGGGAAATATGCCACGCTCTGACTTCACCACCTCAACCAAGCTTCACAATCATCATCGCTGTGGACCAGTATTAAATTGTTTGTTTAAAACTTACACTGTGTGTGTGTGTGTATATATATATATATATAGTCTTTTGTCTGGTGAAAAAAATTTCCCTGGAACCTAACCCCCCCATTTACATTAATTCTTATTGGGAAATTGGATTCGCTTAACATCGTTTCACTTAAAGCTGCATTTTTCAGGAACATAACTACAACGTTAAGTGAGGAGTTACTGTAATTCATTGTATGCTTATAGACATTTTATAGATCTCTCATAATGAACACTGATTAAAATTGGGGCATTAGGGCAAAAAGGGCCTTTACAGGTAGTTGGCTTATTTTGTGAAGTTTTCTTAATGCTGTAGAAGAAAAATTCCACTGTTCTGAAATGAACAGTCACATCTCTAAAGTACACCCACTGTAAGGGAAAAAAGTGTCTACAGGGTAAGGTGCCACAAGCACTCAAACTCACAGTACCTACGATGCTCAGACAATGATGTTGCTATCTGACAAGATTAAATACCCAATCTATACATTAAATGCCCAGTTTAGATACACTTAAAATCAAAAGTAATAAGATTTTCTAATCTTAACGTCAGAAACACTACCCTGCTGAAACCAGAATTCTGGTTAGGACATCCTAAAACAAAGAACAATAAATTATGGTACTTAGCAAACTGGTAGAAATTAATTATTATACTAATATGCCTTGTGATAAAAAATATTTAATTCACCTGCTTACTTGGCAAGTTCATGAAAAGTTGTTAAGAGCTCATTGGTGGTTTTGTGGTCTTTGACCCTTAGCAAAGACATGAGAATGTGGACATCATTGAAAAGCCAAACATGATCTTTGGTGTGCTTCTTTGCAAGAGGGATAACTTCATTCCATCTGTCTCCCACCTTTACACCTAGGAGTAATATACATGATTTCAAATAAAAACTCCACATGCAAAACCATACCTTTTGGCATATACTCCCAGTTTAATTCAGCATCATAAGATTTGATTACTAGTTTAAGGAACCACCTCTGGACCTGTGTCAAATCTCTTTATTGATCATCTCCAAATATACCATCTGTCACTGATATCCTGGATCCCATTAGATAGGGATCAGACCTAATAATACGATAAATCAGAGGCGGATTATGGGTTTGTAGGGCCCTGGGCCAGAGCAAGTGGGGGCCCCTCCCCACCCCTTCTGCCTGCAGTCCCCCTGCTCCCATCCCCAGCGCTCCTGTAGGGAGCTGGGTCAGGGTGCAGAGGCTTGACCCGCTTTACCTGCCCGGCATTCTGGCTGGGGAGCAGGGTCGGGATGCAGGGGCCAGGCAGGAATGCCAGGCAGGCAGGGAGAGCAGGGCAAGCCCCTGCGCCCCGATCCCACTCCCCAGCAGGAGTGCCGGGCAGGCAGAGTGCGTCATGGCAGCGCCCATTTTTCCAAGGGCCCCACAATTGGCCAGGGCTCCTGGGCACAGGCCCCGCTGGCCCAGGGGTTAATCCGCCAATGGGATAAATGACGTCCTCCTGAACACAGATGAGGGAAGATAATGCCCAAAATCATTATTCTAGATCTGTGTGGGGCATATTATTACTAAAGCAGACTGCAGATGAGTGCACCATGACTACCTGTGAAAGCTCTGTGAAAATTATTTACAACTATGATGATGTGGGGACAGTCTGTCTCTTATGAATGCTGGTTGATATTATGAAGCTGTACCATGAAATTGCTGTATCAAGGAAAACCTTTGTATGTGTATCCACCATGAGTGGGCAGTGTTGTGTTATGTCTTCCCCAGACCCAGGACAATGGGAAATACTTAATGTTAACTGAGGTGCTTTGACCAGGCAATAGACATGCCCAGATAGTTTGCACAAGCTGGGAAAAAATATTTCCTCCTTGGGTTTGGGGGAGATTGGAGCACTGGAAATTTGCCAAAAATCAGAACAAAGAAAACCAGGTGTTGGAAAGGTGGCATATAAATAGGGGATGCTTGCTGTGAGACACACAGGAGGCAAGAAGGGCTGAAAGACTCCATGAGGAGCAGCAACCCCGAAGCCTGATGGGGCAGAGAAGGGCAAGTAGCGTTTCCTATGAGCAGATCTGTGTATTTCTCATGCTATTAAACAAAGACTCTTAATGTGTTAGTAAACTATGCAAAGGTCTGTATGTGTTACATGCTTTACAACCATCATATGCCCCTACCCTGAGAGAATTAAACTGTAAGCCAGAGGGCTCTTAACTTTGGTGGGATTCTGGGACTGGGTGTGTGTAGGTTGCTGGAGGGGGAGAGGGAGGGGGATGGCGTCAGCACTGGTCCTAGGGACCTAAGGCATAGGGTTACCATATGTCCAGGTTATTCTGGACATTGTCTCTATTTTGAGACTGTGTCCTCTGTCCGGGCAGATTTTTCAAATAAGGAAATATCTGGGATTTTTGTAGAGCAGATATTGCAGCTCAGAAAGCGCCCTGATTGGTTCGCTTCCAGATTGGTCCCTCCCATGTATCCACAGCTGATTGGTCCATTCCCCTGCAGGCACAGATTCTGGATCCTGCCCACCCAGGTCCCGGCTCCCAGCCCCGGGCAGGGGGTCCTGCAGAAACTGCTGACTGATGGTTGTCAGTCACTGGGTCCTGGGCTTGCGCCAGTCACCATGACAGGGAGTGACACTGCCCTGTATCTCCAGTGATCGCCCCTCCAGCACCCTTAACTATATCCCCTTCCCCGCCCCCCCCCCCAGCAGTATCTTCTTTTGGCCAACCTGAAATTTGGTAACCCTATAGTAAGGCAGGTGAGCTGATGAGCTCTATTTCCATGAAAGGATAACAGACTGAGAATCAGCACCAGGATATGTGCCACACACACCAAGGGAGGAAACACTACTGCAGCCTATTGAGACCCAGGGAAGCTTAAAAACACACAGGAATCCAGAGGAATTCCCCTGACAGCAGTCTATTGAGGATATGTCTACACATACACAGGTCTACACATATACATGTCTACCCTTCACCCTCGCTGGGTCCCAGAGCTCAATTATCTACACAGCAGCTTTCAGCCTGGGGCCCAAGCCTAAGTCAGCTGTCCCGAGCCAGCCTTGGGTTTTTTATCCCTGTGTCGATGTAGCCTGAATGACCAAAAAGAAGTGCTTGACTGGATCTGTGACAACAACTTAGGAGGTGAGCATTTTTTTTCTGGAACTCTCGCTTCATCTTTGTGTTAGGAAGTTAAAGAAAAGACGGATGGCTGTTTACATATTCCCATGGAACTTTTGGAATGATTGGTACTATATTTACATTGACTCCTTATTTCCATCAATATCAAGATTAAGAACTAAACATTAATGTTGGCTTGATATTTACTAAAAGAGAAGTTAATGGCTTTTTAATAGCTTATGCATTTGATCTTTTAACATTAGGTTGAAAAATGAGATCTCTGGGGACAAAGGAAATGAAACTTGCCAAAAAAAGAAAAATGTGACCTTTATTAATTTGGTTGAATGGAATACTGTATTGCAGGAAAATAATAAACTGTAGGGAGAAATAAAGGTAATGTTCATTAGTATATACTTAAAATTCACCTCTGAAGAACAGCATCTCTTTGAAGATTTCTTCTCTAGCATAACCCACTGCTCAGACTCGCTCTGTATATTTACCTAACTCTTCACCTGTTGCATTTTGGAGGACGAGCCTTTCACCTTACTCTTTTAAGAAGAATGAGTAGACTGAAGCAGAAACTAACAGTTCTTTTACCTTCCAACTGAAGCCGGTACAGCATGGAGCAGTTATCTAGCACAGCTAACATATTTCCGTTTGACAGGCATGCAGGAGCAATCTATAATCAGAAAGCATTCTTATGTTGCATTACCCATATTTAAGTGGAAGTTAACTTACTTTGACAGTACAAAATTAATTCTATCCTCTTACTCTTCCAGATAGAACAACCCAAATTGCATCTTTCAGAAATACAGCAATCTACAAATAATATTCATATTATTTTATCTGTGGTGTTTTTCCATTTATAAAATCAAATAAAGTATGTGTGAAAACTACCTTTTCTACGATCTCTGATTGCCCCAAAATGGACCATAATTACCTCTATTACTTTGCAACAATCACTAGGTAGGACACGATATTTTTGTAAAGTTTAACACCAAAACAGGCATGAAGAGACCTGTTATACAGATTCCTGGTTAATTTGCTGTGGATTATTTTAGAAAGATTCCTCCAAAGTTCAGACAGCAAAAAATTTTAATAAGTCACCTAGAAAAGAAAAGACATGACTAAGAAAGAAGAAGCCTAACTAGTAACTGGACTGGTAATTAATCTACGAGATCTGATTTTAATCATGACAGTTTATATTTATACAAAAACTATTTTACATAATGTTAAACTTTTAAAGATTATCTCTTTCCCCCCATACCTCCAAGGCATCTACATAGCAACTATAGCAGCCTGACTAAAGATAACAGGATATGAAATTGGAAAACACTAAAAATATTTAAATAAAATGTGGTATAAACAACATTAAATATGATGGTTTGAGATAAAGGGGTTTTTGGCATGGGTTTAGGATGATCTCTGTAACTTCATTTGTGATTTTGCCAGTTGAGTTGAATAGTCACTCTAAAATGCCAATTAAACTTTTCAAAATAAAACCAGAAAATGGTATCACACCTTTATCTATTTTACATCAAATACAAAATGAGGCATGTACATACCATTTCATTTGAACAATGTCTTTTCACTACACCAGAAATGGTTTATACTCACACGATTGTCCTAAATTGTCAAAGCAGCCTCATAGTCACCCTGTAAAACCAAAGGAGGATTGTGTAATGACCTTTAGGACACAGTGTCCATAAGTGACTGCTAGAGTTCAGTAATAGCAAATTTTTAAAAGAATATTGGTGATCCCATCAATAAATGTCCATGTGCAACATACCCAGATTAGATATGGGAGAGGTCTATATTCTCAAATTTCTCTATAACTCAAATAAATACAATAATCACAGACTCTAAAACGGCCTATTCCTGCCCAATGGAGAAGTTAAAATTAACCTTATCTCTAAAGGGACAGAGTGCTCATTTTAGTGGTGACTACTTCAGTACAAACCTCTGAGGTGTGAGAGAGTTCTCCATATGTTAGCATTTTATGTTGTTTACATACGCCAGCAGTTTGTTGTAACTTGTTTAATATTAAACTACAACAAGGACTCTACTGACACAGGTTGTTAAATGTTAGACGTAGAAGTGACATTAGAAAGTTTGGCCTATACAGTAACTGGTTCCAAATGTCATGCAAATAAGATTATGGGGTCCCTTCCCTATGAATAAAATGAAGCTTCTTAGTGCTGCATAGGCTAACCTATAAGAAATGCCTAAGGGAGGGGTGTGGCCTAAGTGCACCCCTCAAAGGGATTTAGGCACCTAAATCCAGACCAGTGGAAGGTGCCTCCTTCAGCTTGGGAATCACAAGCATGAACCCTCTCCGGGAATTAGGTGCCTACGTCCTTTCTTGCAAAAAGCTGTTCTACTTTTTACAAATAATTAAAGTCATTGGGCCAGAGAAAGAGTGAGAATGACTGTATAGCGCAGTGGTTAGGGCACTCACCTGGGATGTGGAAGACCTATGTTCTAACGAGTAATTATTTATATAAAGTGGAACAGCTTCAACGGGAGAGACTGAGAGAGATCTACCCCAGAATATCCCATAGCGAGCAGTTAGGGCCCATTCCTGGGAGGTGGCAGATCTGGGTCCAAATTCCTGCTCCATATCAGGGAAAGTGCGGATTTCAACCAAGGTCTCCTAGATCCTCGGTGAATGCTCCCACCACTGGGATAAAGGCTGTAAGAGGGTGGCAGCACCTCCCTGCACAGGCTGCATTTTATGCAAGGCCCAATCCAGTAGGCATGCTCTGAGCAAGCCTGCTGAATTGGGCCCTGCAGGTGAGATAGGTAGGGCAACCCTAGTCTGAGGATCCTCCTGGCACTTAGGTGTGAGCTAAATGCCCAGGCATCAGAACACAGTGGGCCGTGAATATGCCCAACGATAGAAATGTAGGTTCCATGGGGACGTTACTGCAGAAACTTAGGCACCATGGGACTTTAGGTATCTACAAGGTTAGGCAGCAGCTGAGAGAGGGCTTTCAGGGTCTAAATTTTGGATTTCCACTTTGGTTTATTTGGACAAAGGGTAATATTTTCTAAAGCATCTTAGTGACTTAGGCACCTAAGCTCTGTTTTTAAAAGTGACCTAGGACTTTGGGGCCTAAGTCACTCAGGTGCTTTTGAAAATTTCACCCAAATTTTCTATTTACAGCTCATTACAATTTTGTTTGTTAGTTTTGGTGCCGTGTTTTTGTTTGTTTTGTTGCTGTAGTCCTCAAAGTTGATCAGCAAAGGGGAAAAACAAATCTCTCTGAAATATGATATGCCTGAACCTTGAGGAAATGCTCAGAAAGCTCTCCATCAATAATACTAATCTTGATATTGAAGATTTCTAATTTTTAAAAACAAGCAGAAAACAACCCCAAAACTCTTTAGGCCTTCTTGATACAACTCTGCTCTCTGAGTATAGAGGAACTGTCAATTGCAAGGATAAAGCTCATTCATACAGCAGACAGACCTTTCTTGGAGCAAACTCCTGTGGATTGTAAGAACCACCACAAACTTCACCACCTGCTGTTCCAATCTACACACAATTTTCTGCCGGAGGAGAAAGAAAGAAAGAAGGAAAAAACCCACATGACAGATGCTGGTCATGTTGTTTAGTGCAGTGGTTCTCAACCTTTCAGACTACTGTACCCCTTTCAGAAGTCTGATTGGTCTTGCATACCCCCAAGTTTCACTTCACTTAAAATCTACTTGCTTACAAAATCAGGCATAAAAATCTAAAAGTGTCACAGCACGCTATTATTGAAAAAATGCTTACTTTCTCATATTTACTATATCATTATAAAATCAATTGGAATATAAATATTGTACTTACATTTCAGTGTATGGTATAGTACAGGGGTTGGCAACCTTTCAGAAGTGGTGTGCCGAGTCTTCATTTATTCCCTTTAATTTAAGGTTTCACATGCCAGTAATACATTTTAATGTTTTTTAGAAGATCTCTCTCCCTATAAAAGTCTATATATTATATAACTAAACTATTGTCGTATGCAAAATAAACAAGGTTTTCAAAATGTTTAAGACGCTTCATTTAAAATTAAATTAAAATGTTGATCTCATGCTGCCGGCCCGCTCAGCCCGCTGCTGGTCTGGGGTTCTGTTCAACTAGGCCAGCAGCGGGCTGAGCGGGGCCTGTGGCCGGGACCCCAGCTGGCAAGGGGCCGGCAGCCAGAACCCCAGACCAGCAGCGGGCTGAGCGGGGCTGGAGGCCGGGACCTCAGACCGGCATTGGGCTGAGCGGCTCAGCCCGCTGCCGCTCAGAGGTTCCATCTGCCGGCTCCTGCCAACCGGGATCCTGACTGCTGGACCCACTCAGCCTGCTGCCGGTCTGGGGTCCTGGCCCTGCCCACATACAGTGCGTACCTACCTTCTCCCTGGTTCTGGCCCATTTTCTTCCTCTCTCTCTGCACTGAGCTGAGGGTGGGAGTGCACTAAGCGCAGGGCTGGGGGTGAAGAAGCAGGCTGGGGGTTGGGGTGTAGGGTCTGGCCAGGAGCTAGAATGAGGGAGGGGGCTCAGGGTTGGGGCAGGAGGTTTGGGTGTGGAGTGCTTACCTGGGCAGCTCTCATTTGGTGGGAGGTGTGCAGGTGGGAATGTGGGAAGGGTGCAGGAGCTCCCGTTTGGTGGGGAGGGGGATGTGGAGGTGGAGATGTGGGGGGTGCAAGAGTCAGGATGTGGGGGGTGCATGGGGTGTGGGGGGCCTGGGTATGTGTGTATGGGGGGTCAGGACAGAGGGCCGGGGGTGTGGGCTGGGGTCGTGGGGTGCTCATGGCAGGGGGCTGGAGGGGGTATGCCCCGCTTCCACCCCCCTTCTCCAAGGCCCTGCCCCCACTTCTTCTCTGCCTCTGCTAGGAGCAACGAGCATGCTGACCCGGCTCCTCCCCCACCCCTCGCAAGGGCCATCACCTGATTGGCCAGCATGGAGGGACGGGACAGAGAGGAGGAGGAGGGGCAGGAACCCAGCACACTGCAGGAAGAGGCAGGGGAGCTGGCAGGACCAAGCTTCTGCACCCTACCCCTTGCCCCCTGCCCCCGCGGGAGGGGGCAGGGGATGGAGAAGAGTGGGCCAGGCCAGGCCGGGCAGGGCAGGGCAGGATTTTTAATGGCACGCTGCTGCTGCCCCAGCAGGCAGCAGCATGCCATTAAAATGCATGCGTGCCACAGGTTGCCGACCCCGGTATAGTATATAGAGCAGTTTAAACAAGTCATTGCCTGTATGAAATTTTAGTTTGTACTGACTTCGTTAGTGCTTTTTATGTAGCCTGTTGTAAATCCAGGCAAACATCTAGATGAGCTGATGTATCCCCTGAAAGACCTCTGGTTGAGAACACGTACCCCTGGTTGAGAACTATGGGTTTAGTGCATTATGGGACCATGCTCAGATGGATATGATATAAGAACACGAACAGAAAAGGGCACAAGCACCATTTTCCTTTCCTTTGCAGTCAATCTTTTAACATTCTCCCCACCCCAAAAGCAAATATAAGTTGAGGTCTTTTATAATCTTACTTTGATTGTTTCTCCCTGCAATTCATTCTATGTTCACTAATCTTTTCGTGAAGTAGTTTTGTCAAGTCCCTCAATTTATTCTTAAATTGCTGATTTTAGGCTTAGTAGAAAGCTATTTCACTTTATTGCCTGCGTATCAGAGCAAAGGGCCCTTAGCCACAGCAGATAAAAGCATTGTATGCACATATATATTGCTCAAGATCCAAATCACAAGTGGCATGTAAAATGTTTTATCTACCAACACTAGCCACATCCCCTTGGATATGTCAAGCCCGTGCCTGAGCCAGGGCTGAAGCCTAACAACCCTTGCATCTACACTGCAATTGCACTAATCCAGTGCTCAGACCCAGGGCCCCAGGACCCTGCAGGATTGGAGGATCCAAACTCGAGTTAAGCCAGTACGCAGGGTCCGAGCACTATTGCTTCACGGTGTAGACACAGCCCCGCTTGTGTCCCAAGAGTAAGCCGGAAGTATCCCATAATTTCATGGGACAACTTCCTTAGTCCTCTCTATCCCAACAATCTGCAATTCACTCTATTGAAAATGGAAGCCACCACTCCCTCTTTGCAAACGACAACAGCTCACGTGAGCATTAACCCATTATCTTCGGATCACTGATCTGCAAGCACACTATCAGAGAGCTTCCTGGGTTTGCAACGGAGAGCGAACTGATGAAGCTTTTTGTAAAATGAGCTGCTTCCTGGTAGCGTGGGGGGGGGGGGGGTGGCAGTAAAGTTTTCCCCACAGTGCACCATGGCTCTAGGGCTAGGGTGGCCACATTTCGGGGGTAGGGAGGGGCATCATTAGGGACTCTGGATATGGTTACTTTGACTCAGGTCTGCACACTACTGTGTGGAAGCCAGAGCCCTAGGGTTAAAATATAATGTAGATGCTCAAGCCCAGGGCTCCGTAGCATGGGTCACCTCACTAAAGCCCCACTAACCATGGGCTTACATTGCAGCATAGACATATCCAAAATATCTAACAACTCTGTTGTGCTTATGAATTGTGAAATATTTTTTTATGTAAGAGCACATGCTAGTTAAAGATGCCTACAGAATTTACCTCAATATTTCAAAGTAAAATATGGTAAACTGAGAAATGAATAGAATTTTGGGTGAAATCTTGGATACACTGTAGTCAATGGCAAAACTTTCATTGACTTTAATGGGGCCAGTATTTCACCCACTTGTTTTAAAAGTCTTTATTTAGATCGTTAAAACAGAAAGTTTGGAGAATGAGTTTGAGGCTTTTTTGGTTTGTTTTAATTGTATGTCACTAATCTCAGCTATAAACACTGAGGGGAATTTTTGGATGAATAATACCCAGGGTGGATTTCTGAAATACGGAACTGTTGTTACATTTTCTGCCTGTTGCTTCCGAAGTGACATGAATGGAGATTCCATCTTGAAGCAGTAGCTTCCTATTATTTGTGAAAGCCTACAAATTTCATTAGGAAACAGATCTGACTAAAAGTTGCTACATAAGGAGGAATCACTAGTATTTAGTTGAAGGAGGAAAAAACCCACAGTCAGTCACATCAGAGGAACTGCTAAGGAAATTTACCTTCCAGTTGTTTTCAGTTTGCATCATAAATGTCAACTCATTCTTCAGGTCTGCTTTCATTTCATTTATGTGTGCTATGGTATGGACAGACCATGCATCTGACCGGTTTATAGCTAAAGCCTGGTAGTGGGAAAAGAGAAAATAGCATGATGCATACCGGGTAGATTACAAAAACTGTACATACTATTGCAGGAGTTGGAAGTGGACCTAAGGGAAGGCACAGCTCAGGAAGCTGAGTAAGGGGTACTTGGGGCTCCTCAGGTCTGGAATAGCAGGGAGACAACACCCCCTTTTTTCCAACTCCTCTTAACCCTCATATGAGGGGAAGCTAGTAGGGTCCCAGCAATAGGCTGGGAACAGAGATGGCTGACAGCTACCCTCCCAAATAGGCAGAAACAATTAACAATGGCCTAAACAATGTACTCCTAGATATGTAAAGTGAATAAAGTTGTGGCCTAATTAAATCATATCCATAGCACTTTGTCTTTCTTTCTGCATTGCCGCGGTCACAAAGTAAGTTTGTTTTGGAGAAAGGGATACAGTATGCTGGTCACAAGATTGTATTCATACAGCTTATAGTGTCAGGGCAGGAGCTGGTTGCATATGGATGGCTTGTACATCTACCTCCGTGTGTCAACCTGTATATCCACTTATAAATTTATCTCTGCACTCAGCTCTAAATTTCTTTTGTAATTCAAAGTTAAAATCCTTTCATGAGTTTAATGTTAGTTGCCCTTTTTTGCCTTTCAAGATTTGAATTTTTTGTTTAAAAAAACCCAAAACATGTTCTGACGCATGTTTCATAAGTAACTGATATGTCAACATATTTAGATTACCTTGCATTAATTCCAGAAGACCAAACTGGGTCATCCTGCAGCATTTCATGAAGCACTAAAAGTTTTAGATGGGTGCAGCAGAGCAGCCCTCTTCCTGAGACAGCTGGGTCAGCATGCACACTTAGTTATTAAGTTAGGCAGCAAGCAGGCTTAACTAGACTTCCTTGTTGCACAACTCTTTTTAGGAAAATTCCAATTCTTATTTCAGAACAACACGTTGGCAGTCCAAATTAAAACTGTGTCCCACGGCTGCATTTTCCTCTCCCAGTTCTGCTTCCTTCTTGTAAAGTCTTGCAGCTTAGCTGTAAATTCTTTTGAGTAAAGACAATGGATACAAAACTGGCACAACTGAAGTCAATGGGAGTTTTGCCATTGACTTTATTAGGGCCAGGATGTCACCCCATGTCTTCATATGTCATCTGTGACATTTTTGAGTGCTATAAATTAATCATCATCATCATCAATGACTCATTCAGACAAAATCTAAGTTAAAAACAGCTGACCAGTGGGTCAATAGGAATGCAAAAAAAAATAAGTTAATTCTTATATACATATTTTTAAAGCCAAGGGTGGTTAGTTAGGCACTCCCTTTTCTGTCCTCAGGCAGCGATTACAGGAATAAGCAGGGAAGGTTTGCAACACCATCACACATTGCTGACCAGAAGCTTCTGAACTTATGCAAACCAGAGGTGGCGATCCACAGACATCTGAAGATCAACTCTTGCATACCTACTCAGAGGAATATCAGGTGTCCAGTAAGGATAAACACAGGCAACAGAGTCTCGCATCTGTGTTTGACATCCCATGTAAAAGTAAGTGGCATGGGCAAATTTGAGCGCTAGCATGTCATTTGGATGGTCCGTAGAATTTGATCCCACACATTACGTGCTATGGG